ATCAATACTTCCCGTAATATACAATTTTGCCAACACCTCACGTAATTTCCCTTGCAAGTTGCGAGATTATAAAATATTCCCAAACTAGAACTTCCTTACTTGTTTATAATAAACTTTTATTTGAAATTTTCAAGTAGGTGGCAAGCTTATAATTTTTAAGGCTTAAATAACAATTCAAAATTGGATAACTTTTCTTAATGACTACGGCCCTTTGTGTTTTTATCTTACTGCAACTTGCTTAAACTTTCGCTTTTCGATATTTGCTCGGTTACAAAAAAGCTTTGTAGCACTACAAGGAGAAACGGAGCAATTGTACTTGAAGTTTAATTTTGAAATGATTGATAAAATATTTGTCAAATTGTAAATGGAAATATAATGAATTTTGATTAGCATTTTTGAAAACTATATACAAGTATGTACATTATATTCCTTCTTGACTTTTTCCTTTTAGTCAGAAATATACATAGTATGTATTTTCAATGCATTGATTGTTTTACTTTTAACATAATTGAGATATAAATATCCTATCTTTAAGTTGGACCAAACTGACACTGTGCCGAATTTATAAAATCGGTTCCGTAGTTTAGAGTTTACACCAGAAAATGCGTAATTTGTATCGGATAACAATATAAATATAAAAGAAAATATTTTGGTAACTAAACTGAACTAAAGCTTCATCGCAGCTACCTATTTAGTTGTTAACCAGCTCTTGACTCACCCATATTTTTATTTTATTATATATTAGATTACTCATATGTAAATGTATCATAACGACAAGAATTTCCGCTTATTTCCACTTCAACATATTATATGTCTAATAACTTCTTGGTAACTAATTCTTTTTCAGCGTCATCAAAACAACAAATCAAAAACAGCAATATGAAATAAAACAACAAAGAAACAAGTGCATTGAAAGACAGCAAAAGTATAAAAGTTTACCACCAAATAGATAAGCTCAAAAGATGATTTGTGTATGCGAGTATTATACAGCGTGTAATAAAGTGCTAAACATCGTGCGCCTAAAATATGCAGCACTTGAAGTAACGCAAATGATCGTGTATAAAGTGAATTTATAAACGGCCAAGGAAAATATTAGTGCACAAAAATTATTTCGTGTTGTTTGTGAGTAAACACAATGAACAACAACGATAAATCGAAATCAACAGCTTTTTAAAACAACAAAATTAGGAGCGAAGATGTAGCCACCAAGCAATTGTTGAAAAACCTAGAAGGGATAGCGACGCCGATAAGGATGTGGTGAGTAGAAAATGTTTGAATATTTAATATTTACTAACAGGTTTCTGCATTGTTCTGTGTTGTTGTTTATTGTTTCATTTAAAACAAATATTTTTCAAAATAATAAATAAATTTTTCCATTGTTTTAAATTATTTTTCAAGTTTTTAAAAATGTTTTAGATAAAATAATAATTTTAAATTTTATTTTTATATAAACTTAATACATGTTAAAATTTTCAAAATGATAAAACTATAAAATTTGTTTTCAAAATGTTTAATATTTTTAAATGTTTTATTAAGTTTTGGTTTTCAATGTTTTCTTTATATAAAAATTTTTTCGAAAATTCTATTTAAAAACTATAAACTGATAAATAAATTTTCTATATATTTTAATCAAAACATTTACGCCATTGATACTGAACGACAGCTTTTAATTATTGTGAGATCACCTGTCGCTAACGGTCAGTCATTATCGACAAGCTACGTGTATTTTGTGCTAAATGTTGTGGCGCATTGTTGCAATTCAACGCCCGCGCGTCTCTCTGATCTAATTTGCAGCCTTTATAAATATATACATACATAGCATATAGATGTAGTTATTGAAATGTGAAATCTATCTGTGATCGCCCATCGCTTAGTTCAGCCAGCTCATACGATCTTGTCGGTTAAGCTGAGAGCTTAGCTCAGTTTGGACCGACGCAAAGTGAACTTGAAAAAAAATAATACCGCTGAGTGCGTACAAAGTGTCTTTGCATATATACATACAAAATATAACATTATAGAACAAATACCATGTACATACAAAGTTAAGAATATAATAACTCTAAAACGGATAAAGCAGAAAACGAATCAATGCAAATTAATAAATTTATTCCATAACTTATTACATACTCATACGAGCATAGCAAAACTAACAGCAAGTGCTGCTGTCGTATGCGGTAAGAAGTGTTACGAAAGAATTCTAGCAACAACAATTAAAACATAAGTGGCGAAAAATGAGGCGGTGGCATAAACAGTTAACGAGCGTGCTTTGGAAATCAAATCTTTCGCGAAATTTTATGCTTAAATATAATAGCTAGCTCAGCAATGATGTAAAGAAAAAAAAACGTTTATGGACACAAAAGCAAAAACAACATGACTACCACAATCGCTTAACAATGTCATAAAAACAAAAAAACATTGAAATATTTTTTATAAAACGACGTTATTGTTGATCGAAGTCGTAGGTGTTTAGCTACAGTGAATCATAAGTTATTTTTTTAATTATTAAAAATTTTAATATTTTGGAATAATATCCCCTCAGTGCTGAACATTTTTTAATATTTATTAATACATATAGAAAACTTTCTAAAAAAGTTTCCCAAAAAAATTGTTATCACGAACTCGCGGCTTAATTCATTATTCAAATTAATTAATAAATAAATACTCAACTCAATTGCTTTTATTTCCAAAAAGACATTCCATTTGTATAATTATTGAGTGGTTTCTTCTATAGTTTTATTATATAATATTGAGTGCTTGAAGAGGACACGAATTTGTAAAAGAATTTACTTGGCACTTATTTGCAAGCATGGAATTTTTTCGTAGTAAATATCACACAACAGTGGGGTATTTTAAGTTTTGCGAGTTTTAAATTTTGTTATATTCTTTTTCTGAAACGGAAAATTATATATTGACCGGGCGACACCAAAAATACTTTAAATTCTTTTCTTACGGTAGTTTTCAAAATATCGCTGTATAAAGGTAGTCATCTTGACCAATTCCGTTTTTCAAGGTCTTCAAAATTAAGGAGAGGTATAATGTCTACAGCATGATGAACCACGATTTTTTCTACCTATATAACCCATTCACGAAATCTTTATAGAAGAGATTTTGTGATACTCCCACAAAGCTAGAAACTGACCTAGGTAAATATGTATTGTTAATAGATATCCTTTGGATGGGCGTTTTCTGTTTGATTTTTTCATAAATCTGGTAGTTTTAAAAATTAGTGATGAAAAATAATACCGTAGTTCGTTTTATAAAAAAAAATTTTATTTAACGAAATTCATTTTTTACAAATCAACATAATTGCCATCAGGGCAAGAAACTAATTTAATTTAAAAAGCCTCAGGCTCGGCGATTTTCATTTTTTTATTTTTGAGTCTTCAAGTTTAGAAGAATGTTTCTGTGAACCAGGAGAATTCAGTGGATGTGTAAGCAATTCGAGGCCAAATTTAAATTCCGTTTTATTAAATTTAATTCAGTGCATCGGTCGATTGTGAGTTCGCGTGGCATCCACTGTGCGCAGAGCTTTCGCAGTTGCATATTAACTAACAATGTGTCCAACGTGTTCTTTTAATATGTTTGGAGTCGTAGCTATCTCCATATAGTTCTTTTTAGCCACTATATCGAGTTTGATATTAATAATCTTACAGTCGAACTAAAGTTACTCAATACGTAAATATATCTCTTATGAAGACCTTCTTGATTTTGAATGGCAGCTATAGTTATCCGATCTGAATATTTTGTTCGGATTTATAGCGTTGCCTTGGACAAAAATCTGAGCCAAATTTCATGACGACAATTTGTCAAATTAAAAGTTTTCCATACAGAACTTGATTTTGATCAGTTTGCAATATGAAAGCTATATGCTAAAATGGTCCGATATCAGTGGTTACAAAAATGAGCTGCTTCTTGAGGAGAAAAGGACGTGTTCAAATTTTCAGATTGATATCTCAAAAATTGACAGACGGCATGGCTAAGTCGACTCAGCCCATCGTTCCCTTTTGGGTGTTACAAACTTCATGGTAAACTTAAAGTATCCTGTTCAGGGTATACTTTGTGATTACTTTAAATTAGGAGTAGGTCCTGTGAAGCCATATTTCTAGAAATTATATACATATTTCTAGAATTATATATCTGGTTGCTTTCCATATTTTTCTGGATTATTGTCACTTCAAGAATTTAATTATTCCTTTAATTTCTCTATTTTTTCATTTCTATTAATTAAATTTTTTTGAAATCACATCTTTCCTCGTTCAAAAAAAATCTCAATGGCGAGAGAGATTAAAATGAGTTGTAAATTTTTTATACACGCCCACTGTTATGCAATAAACTCATTTCATTGCTGATGTGTTCGTAAATGTTGCCGGCAGCTACTCCGCTATTAATATTCTAAAATGTTGTGTAAAACGCGCACCCATTGAGGAAGCAAGGGAGAGAAGCTTTTAACTTAATGATAATAAATAGCAGCAAATAATATACAACACGCTAAACAATTACTATGATTGCTAAAAACGAGTTAAAAGCAAAATAAACACATATTTACATAAACTACAGAGAAACGACGAAGCAAAACAAAAAAGCTCCACTACGCCACATCAATTGATAACAGGTGAATAACTAAATACACACACGTACAAATATGTTATACGCAAAAAATGAGTAAAGCTTTTGAGAAAACGCCAAAAGAGGGTCTAGTGGGTAGGTAGTTCAACGCTTACGGCAAAGAAAATTAAAAGCTTTTTTCCCAAAGCAAGCGCTTGCTGAGAGCACATGAGCGGGAGAATGAAAACGCGCGAGCACCACAAACCGTTAGCGCCACTTGGGAGTTGTTGCTAATTGTTCACATTGTTGGCAAAATTGAAGTTTGTTGCTAAAGTTTTTTGTTTGGCACCACCGCTGAGCGCATGACTTTGTTGCACCGCCGCGCTGCACTGCACCATGCGCTCGGCTAGACACTTTGGGGTGTTGCTGCCGTGCTCAGCTTGTGTGGTGCACAAATCGTAGTAGATTGTTGAAGTACGCGCGCGCAAAACGCGCAAAGTCGCAACCAAATCGCACATTTGTACGCTTTTTACAAATCATTTTCTATTACGACGCGCTTCGAAATAGCCGCGCGCGCACACACAACACGGACGCGCGCACTGATCTCCACCGGAATCACTTGCCTGTAATACAATCCATTCACATACGGCTAGAGAAAATTGTCAATAAACGAAAGACAACGGAAGCCACTCGTGCGAACGGTGTTTTTGTTTTTTGTTGTTGCTGGCGGGCGGTTAATCGCTTTGGGGTGGTGTATTGCGTAAAATATAAGAATCGTGAATCAGTTGGTCACACAACGACGCGCGTGTAAGTTGTCAACGCGTACACACACATGAGTACATAAATCGGAACAAATATTTAACTTTGCCTATTTGATTTGGCGTTACCAAATTTCTAGATAAAATTTTAGTTTTTAGCTTCGGTTTCATTTTCGTTTACTTGTCAGCGTATAGTTTGAAAGAAGTGAGCAAAAAGATTCCTATTCTTAGTATCATTGCAAATGTGTGCTTTTATTTGCAAGTAGCTGCAGTCTTGTAGCTTTGTGCGTGTGTAGCGGTTGTTAGGTGGAAAATTATTTTAATTGTGTAATGTGTTTGCTACGTGCTAATTAATTTCATGCCACTAATAACAACTAAGGACCAAGTATTGAATTTTAATTTATATTGAATAAAAATAATATTAATTAATTGAAAAATAACTGTAATAATAATGAAATGGTAATAATAATTTAAGTGACAAATAAGACATACTATCGATATTTAATGAGATTATTCTGGACAGATTGGTTGTACGAATCTACATGAAAACATAAGTAGTTGTATTGTAGAATGTGGCTTCCCATTTTTATTTTCCTCCTTTTTTAATATTATTGTGCCAAAACAAGGGATATCAGCTTTTCGTAATAAAAATGATGATAGCTTTATGCTATATTGGCCCGATATGAACAATTTTTTCGAAGATTATAGCGTTGCTTCGGATTACAATTCATGCCAAATTTCGTGAAGATATCTTTCAAATAAAAGAGTTTTCCATACAAGGTTTTGATCAATCAGTTTGAATGGCAGCTATATGTTATAGATATCCGATCTGAACAATTTTTTCGAAGATTATGGCGATATCTTGAACAATAATCCATTGGAAAATTTGGTGAAGATATCTCGTCACATAAAAAGTCTTTTCTACAAAGCCTTGAGTTTGATCTGTCTGTAATGTATCGCAGCTATATGTTGTAGTTGTTCGCAATAGACGATTCCGACAATAGAGCAGCTTCTTGATGAGCAAAAGACGTGTACACAATTTCAGTTCGATATCTCAAAAATCGAGAGACTAATTCGCGTATATACAGACGGACAGACAAAGGGATTTGGCTAAACAAACTCAGCTCGTCACACGGATCCCTTATAAATATACTTTATAGGGTCTCCTGATCAGGGTATCTCAGTTTACCATGAAGTTTGTAACACTACTAAGAAAAGGTCGGAAACCCTGTAAAGTATATATATAAGTATTACAAATTGCGTGGCAAACTTAGATACCCTGTTTTGTAATTCTTCCCAATTCTTACCACATAACAACGATCTAAACTACAAATCAGGATTAGACGCTGAAATTATATTTAATTCAATGTTAAAGCAGTTGGTTAAGTGTGCTTTTTAGCATTTCGTTATATACATTTTCAAAACTAAATTCCAAAATAATTCTGATTTATAAGAAACCACTTTAATTATACCACGAAAAATTATCAAGTAAACACTACTTGTTAGAAGTAAGGGGTTTCCTATACAATTTCCTCTAAAATTAGAATTTGCGCGTGTAACTGTGCTATCTGAGACTAAGCTGCTCAAGTTATTGATATGGAATATAATTACCATCAAGCTGGTTTAACAAGTTTTCCTCATTTTGGTCAATAAATCCTATTCAATTAACTTTTATTAGACCATATTTCAGAATATTTGACGTTAAATGCACTAGTTTTATTAATTTATACCCTATAACCTGCAAGATTGCTTTCTTGTTCACAAATTCTAATCTCAAGTTCAGCAGTTAGTTCTAATATCAAATCCAACCGTCCAATCACGCGATAATTCCACATATGCACATACCCAATTAACCTTGAATTAATTGAGTTGTTCTAATTGTATTTATGTTGTTATTATCTTAAGACTCCGTTAGGTATAAGGTTTTGCGAAAATACCAGTTGGCCTGGCTATCATACCAATTTGGAGTTTTTGTTGTAATCAGAAGTTGATAATTTTGTTAAAATTTGAGAAGTAGAAGGTAAAACTTTCAAACAATTTTTTTGCTATCATATAATCCTCCTTTAGCTTCCAGTATTTACAGCTATTTTTGTGAAGCCTTTAAAAACTATAGTACTTTTCGAATTTCCTCCAGCATTATCACAGATAATTAAGATATCCTACGTACGTACATGAAAGTTTTACAGCTATCTCAAGCACTTGAAGCACCAGTCATCCCATAAGGACTGATGAAAGTTATTCCGGTTGTTTTTCAAATAATCAGAAATCGTTGTCGTAGACCTTAATAGTGATAAGCGTCGGAACGCAGATTAGAATTTAACTTTGCTTCTAATTCGCGTGAGTAGTTCAAATGAGGGTTTTGAATGGATATCACTTAGTAATGACCTTTTTTTTATATTTATCGACTTTCCTACATATTTATTTTAATCTAAAGGCTTTTATAGACAAGCTTGGTACTTCTAGAATAGGTGGCTTTTTGTCAACTTCTAGAATAGGTGTCAAGGTGTCAACTTTTAGGTCATAGCTTAAAATATTTAAAACATTTTCCCCTTTCACCTGATCCGAAGTATTGTTGGTCGGATATGTTAGGGTTAAATCCCTACTACTACTACTGTTTCGAACAGTCATACTGAGTTTACGTAACTGGTAGTAAATAATATTAAAAACATTTATTTAAAATTGAATTATTTTGAAATTTTGGCGACTTCTTAATCCTTTTAAGAATAATATTTATGACGAAAAGCGTGAAATCGAAAAGAGAAATTCTTAGATCATTCTCAAATATGCGAATTCAAATCAATATTAATATTTAAAAACTGTGAAAACAGAAAAAAAATAGTAAAGATCAGGCTGGACAATTAATCTGAATAAAAATATACAAGTCAAGAACCAAAAACAATTTCACACATAATAAATCATAAAAAATTTAAATAAAAACTTTGCACTCTTGTTTTTGTTAAACAAAAAACATTTATGGAGTTTAAAACTACAAACATTGTAACCTACGCTCACCCCAATTAAAAATATATAACTAAGCATAAAGCAACAACATAACAATAAACATAAAACAACGAAACATAAAAAAGACAATTAACTAAAAGTCATACGAGAATTTGTTTAAAAAAGTTTTAGTGAAATAAAAAGTGAAATTACACCTTTTAAAAGCCAAACTACGAACAGCCACCATTATCGTCATTATCATCAGCATATCAGCAGCAATTTCATCGACATTGACATTGCTGACATTAACAATATGTAGTTTGGGGCAAAAACAGCAATATGCAACAATTGCAGCAATTAGTTGACACAATAGTAGCGTCCGCGCGCACGACAGCGAAATAAACAAATTAATTTCAATGCATATCCGCAGTATTGACGCGATATCGCTATTGTTGTTCTTATTATTAAATGGCAAACGAGTTAAGTTAGTTGCACTTTAGAATCTCAATTGTTGGTGAGGGAAAAAGCGGCATTTTGCTTCAAATTGAATTGAAGAACAATATAAATACGGAAAAATTATGAATTTTTTTAATGAATATAACTTTGAATAAAAGATTAATCTTATGTTTCTTTTTGTATTTGTTTTTAAATAAATATAAAAAATTTATGTTCTTTTAATGACTATTTATTATAAAAATAAACAAAACAATTTAAATAAAACTTTTCTTTATTGAAAGAAAAATCACTTATTCCACGCTCGCAAAGTTTTTCACCGCAATTTCATTGCATTTTCTAAATTTTGCACTTAGCATTTTTCCTTTTTTTTGTTGTGTTTCTTGGGTTGCAATAAATTTGTGCACACAACAAGTGAATTGTTGATTTCGCGCTAGCTTTTTCCCGCGCGAAAATCGTCAAAACGGCAAATGGCACGTACATATCTACAAGTCTGCATACATACAGACACCTAGACGTATCACAAATGAATAGTTTAGGTTCCCACATTATTTGTCAACCCATGCACACGAGCTTAAAAAATGCGCAACAGACATACGAACAGAGTTGAACGTTGTACATATTTATACACATGCATATGTATCTACATACGATATATTTGACCCAACCAGCCTTTTTGTTGTTTGAAAAAATTTTCGCTTCACTAATTACCGAGCGATAATTAAAGATATGCATAAATTTTGAAATTGAGTTTTCGCCTTTGCACAAATTCCTCCTAAAATCTTTCAAAAAACTTTCCATATCTGGTAAAGTATAGAGGGCTGATATCAGAAAGCATTTAAGTTTCAAAGCTAAGCTATTTATGACGTAAATTTAACGAAAGCAGTATTGCTGTGAGAGAACAGGGGGCAACATATCAGCGATCTTGATTCTGAAAACCAGAAAATTTTCTTAGTTCTCAGCGATAGGCAGGCTTTTTTTACTGGACCTTATAATTTCATGTTTTACTATAAATGCAAAGAAAGGACATTTAATCGATTTTTAAAAATATTGTTGCAATTGCAAAAAGACTGTATAATTGCTAATTGGGTATTTAAAATTTACAAAAAGATGCAAATATATAGTATGTTATTTGCATAACACATATGTACATACATATATTTTAAGTATGCTTGTAATCACATACATATATACCAACATATATTGACAACCAACATATAAAAGTACCGATCGGTACTTCCAGATACGTACAATTAGGCTGTTTGTGCACCACTCTCACCGCCACACCATCATCTGCACCACAACCACCACCTCTCCTCAGCGCCGCTTGCCGCCGCCGCATTGATTGTGGCATTTGTGCGAGCGTGTTACTGGTGGTCGCTGCCGGCGAATGGCGTGACGCTTACCTCCATGACTTTTTTGGCGTTTTGACGTGCCACGCTGCCACGCCACCGTATTACTGCCGGCAGAACGGCCCAAGCGCAGGCAGCTTATAAATTGTATTAGATTTCGGGCTCTACGTTTATTTAACAGTTTAGCCAGTGGCCACAAACATACTTCGATATATGTATGTGTGTTTAACTCTGGAAGGCAAGGTATCTAGTAAGTAGGATATTTGCCCGTTTGTTGTCTTTTTTTCGAAACTTTAGATTGGATTTCATTTTTGGTGTGAACCACCGCCACTGTAAGCAACCTAAATGAAATTCTTTACCCAATTTGGTAAAACTTTTTTTTTTTATTATTTTCTATTAAAATGGTCATCGCTTCGCACATAAGTAGACAGCGATTTTTTGTATGTGTTTGTTTTAAATTTGTTTTTGGAATTTTTGGATTTTGTACCGAAAGTGTTGTTGCTGTTGTTGGCGGTGTTGGTGTTGCGGTTGCGGTTATGAGCTCACGCCTCATTTGCAGTCGACAATCGAGTTGTTTGTTGGCCGTTTGTCTATCTAGCATACTTGTATATACTCGTATGTCTGTGCGACAGCTGACATG